CTCTTCTTTGCCTCCTCACACAGAGGAGCTCCTTTTCTTTTGCTAGGCCGTTTTTCACTTGTCTCCAAACTTTGTCCGTCTGCCATTGTGCTCGTGACTCAACTATCTCATGCCCAACTCCTCATAAGGACCAGCTCCAGTCCCTGATTGGCTGACCGACCAGTTTCACAACACATGACGTGTTTCCTGCTGTAAAGCAGATTTTTTCCGTGAAATTTTGCCCCCAGGGGCAGAAGCTTATTGCAAAGATTGCAAAGCCACTAAGTAACCTATGTAAACGCTGATAGTCTGATTTTACTGTGGACACTACCCTGTGCAACCCACATTATTTTCATCATGATATTTTTAGGAAAAGATGCTGTCTGTTGCCTCTTTAAATTTGACCAAATTATGTGGAAAAAAAGCATTGCAGAGTGTCGTTGCTGTGGGCTCCAGCAACACTAAAGGTGGCAATGTGAATCATTTGCAAGGGGGGATAAAAAATGTCTTATTTGAGAATAAAATTACATATTAAATAATTTCCAACCTTTTCATTTAATATTAATGAAGATAATACAGTCTTTATATTTATTTTAATAACAATATAATGTAGTTATTTCTAAGTATTTTCAAACCCTAACTATGGTGTTTTACTCATTTCTAATAATACATGCATTATAATAATAATAGATGCATAATAACACACAACAACGTTTGTGTTGGTTATTTCTGTGCTAAAGTGGGTCAGCTCATTCAGAAGCAGTGTGATCAGTTTTCATGTGTGAATGAAATTTTTATGATTCCCCAGATGTTGTAAATGCTGGTTTAAGGAGGAGAGCACACAACTGTACGACACTCACACACACACACACACACACACACACACACACACACACACACAGAGAAATACAGCCAACTGCATGAATGCACCACAACACACACACTGGCACACGTGCAGAGTCAGGAGTAAAGATGAAGCTGGGTGGAGGAGAGAGCATCAGGAGCTGTCAGAAGTAGGTCATTGGGTTGGAGCTGGAGAAACTGGGCCACAGGTTCACTTCCATAATGTAGCACACAGTCAAGCTCCTGCTGCTGCACGGCAGCGTGTGACCGTACATCAGACCTGTTCCTCTGGTACTTGGCCGGTGTCAGCAGATGAAGACATCACTACAGTGTAAACATCTGCTCCACAGCTGTCTACCTGCCTGTGTTCAATTACTTTTTGGGTTCTGGCGTAAAGAAGATGAAAAGATGCGTCTAATTTGATTCAGTCTTTCAGCCCGTAACATCCGCGTGTGTGTGCAGCGTGGTGTTTGAGATGTCTCATTAGGCTTGTGTTTTGTTGGCTGTGGTTAAACCCTCTCTCCACCTCCTGTTGACTCACACACACAGATGTGAACGTTGGCTGAGTCTATTTCTGTTCTTTCATCTCTTGCAGAAAATCCTTTCCATCGCAGCACGCTACCCTCGCATCCTTTGCCGCTGTCTATGTTTCGGTGAGTAATAGTTTGAGCCCACGCAAACACTTAACCCTGCTCACCCTCCCATGAAGCGCCTGATGATACAGTAGGAGCGAAACACTGAGTGGTGGATGATGGAATTAGCCAAGATTAACTTTTCTGCGTGGCTCTCTCCTCTACGCTATTTTTGCTTCACTGTTAAATCCACTCATCTCTACGGTGTCAGCTTCTCAGGAGAGGATAAAAGACAGAGTGGCCCGTCTGATTGATCACATCAGTTTCCCTTTATCACATTGAGCAGAGCATTAAAAACTCAACTGTAAACGTCAGCGTTGATCAGATTAGATGTCAATCAAATATGTACACCGGTCTGCCTGCTCAGAGGCTGAAGCAACATTTATCATATAGTGTGTCCAAAGACATTTTATTCTACATTTAAACAGTACAATGTTAATTATACATACAGTACAGGCCAAAAGTTTGGACACACCTTCTCATTCAATGCGTTTTCTTTATTTTCATGACTATTTACATTGTAGATTCTCACTGAAGGCATCAAAACTATGAATGAACACATGTGGAGTTATGTACTTAACAAAAAAAGGTGAAATAACTGAAAACATGTTTTATATTCTAGTTTCTTCAAAATAGCCACCCTTTGCTCTGATTACTGCTTTGCACACTCTTGGCATTCTCTCCATGAGCTTCAAGAGGTAGTCACCTGAAATGGTTTCCACTTCACAGGTGTGCCTTATCAGGGTTAATTAGTGGAATTTCTTGCTTTATCAATGGGGTTGGGACCATCAGTTGTGTTGTGCAGAAGTCAGGTTAATACACAGCCGACAGCCCTATTGGACAACTGTTAAAATTCATATTATGGCAAGAACCAATCAGCTAACTAAAGATAAACGAGTGGCCATCATTACTTTAAGAAATGAAGGTCAGTCAGTCCGGAAAATTGCAAAAACTTTAAATGTGTCCCCAAGTGGAGTCGCAAAAACCATCAAGCGCTACAATGAAACTGGCACACATGAGGACCGACCCAGGAAAGGAAGACCAAGAGTCACCTCTGCTTCTGAGGATAAGTTCATCCGAGTCACCAGCCTCAGAAATTGCAAGTTAACAGCAGCTCAGATCAGAGACCAGATGAATGCCACACAGAGTTCTAGCAGCAGACCCATCTCTAGAACAACTGTTAAGAGGAGACTGCGCCAATCAGGCCTTCATGGTCAAATAGCTGCTAGGAAACCACTGCTAAGGAGAGGCAACAAGCAGAAGAGATTTGTTTGGGCCAAGAAACACAAGGAATGGACATTAGACCAGTGGAAATCTGTGCTTTGGTCTGATGAGTCCAAATTTGAGATCTTTGGTTCCAACCGCCGTGTCTTTGTGAGACGCAGAAAAGGTGAACGGATGGATTCCACATGCCTGGTTCCCACTGTGAAGCATGGAGGAGGAGGTGTGATGGTGTGGGGGTGTTTTGCTGGTGACACTGTTGGGGATTTATTCAAAATTGAAGGCACACTGAACCAGCATGGCTACCACAGCATCCTGCAGCGACATGCCATCCCATCCGGTTTGCGTTTAGTTGGACGATCATTTATTTTTCAACAGGACAATGACCCCAAACACACCTCCAGGCTGTGTAAGGGCTATTTGACCAAGAAGGAGAGTGATGGAGTGCTGCGGCAGATGACCTGGCCTCCACAGTCACCGGACCTGAACCCAATCCAGATGGTTTGGGGTGAGCTGGACCGCAGAGTGAAGGCAAAGGGGCCAACAAGTGCTAAACACCTCTGGGAACTCCTTCAAGACTGTTGGAAAACCATTTCAGGTGACTACCTCTTGAAGCTCATGGAGAGAATGCCAAGAGTGTGCAAAGCAGTAATCAGAGCAAAGGGTGGCTATTTTGAAGAAACTAGAATATAAAACATGTTTTCAGTTATTTCACCTTTTTTTGTTAAGTACATAACTCCACATGTGTTCATTCATAGTTTTGATGCCTTCAGTGAGAATCTACAATGTAAATAGTCATGAAAATAAAGAAAACGCATTGAATGAGAAGGTGTGTCCAAACTTTTGGCCTGTACTGTATAATAAAAATATAAAAACACATTCAATAATCACACACCCTCTAGTACTTGCATACACGGATATATGATCCATAAACACATCTGCTGGTGGGTGACATGATGTGAGAGAGCTACTCGTCAAAAACAATATGGCACCTGGCTGGTAACAAACAGTCTGTGATTACAGTTGAAGTGTATGCGACATGTAATATGTCTCTGAAAACATTTTTGGAGAAATCGAGATTAGAAATAATATTTAATCAGCGCTGTCATAAATCAGTTCAGGGAGGACCCAAGTGCAGAGCAGCAGGTTTACGGTTTAACAAAAAGCGAGCTTTGATGCAGCTGATAAAAAACATCCAGAGCAGACAGGTAAAAGTCCGAATGAAAGCAGAACCAAAACTAAACTGAAAACCAACCAGGAAAAATACAATGAACTCAGGTAAGAAATCCAAATATATTATACTATGACTTTTTTTTTTGACATACTATACTATGGACTCTTTCATGACTTTTTTGACATATGAACTCTCAACTTTTTTCGACACACTATACTATGAACTCTTTCATCTTTCAACACAAGACACCAGGCAGGAAACAGAGCAGGGAACGACACCAAGAACACAAGGATGAGCACAGACAAACTGACCAGGAACAAAGGGAAACACACAGGTATATATACAGAAAACTAATCACAAGAACGAGACACAGCTGGAGGAGGAAGACATGGGCAACAGGAGGGACATGGTGATTGGCTGACAACAAGGGTGGAGCAGACAAGACTAATACAGAACAGGTGTGAAGGGACGACTCTGGGAACAGGGAAGGACTAACGAGACAGGTGTGACAGAAAACAGGCGGGAAAACACACAAAGACAGGAAGTAAAACCAGACATGACACATGAGGAGAGAATCTACAAAATAAAACAGGAAGCAGATTAAACATGAACGAATAACATGAAACAAGGAACACAAACAGAAACCCAAAGGATAACAGAATATAAACAAAACCCCAGGATCGTGACAAGAGCTGCCAAGTTCTAGCATTTTATCGGTTCAGTGCCTACAGGAAACAGTATGGCGCCCACTTCCTTTTAGAAATAGGCAGTAACAAAAGCTTGGTTTATGTTTGATCAGCTCTGCCTAGTTTTGATCAGAGTTAGCTCAATGCTGAATAATGCTGCTGGCAGCGGTGATGGAAAAGCCTGCAGCTACAACATAAAGCAGCAATCATAAGGACAATGGAAAATAACTGTGTTATGTGTCCACAGATGTACTTCAACAGCACTTTGACAGACTCATCCAAGCTGCTCAAGCCCCTACTGGTCTTCTCCTTCATCATCTGTGCCATCATTTGTGGTCTGACCCGGATTATTCAGTACAAGAACCACGCTATCGACGTCTACCTGGGCTTCCTGCTCGGAGGAGCTATAGCCGTCTACCTGGTAGGGGCCAGTCCACTCAGCAGCCTCTTTTCCAACGCTGTTACCTTTTCAAAAGGCCTGTGTGGAGGTGGTTTTGTTCTCTTAAGTTTGAGAGCAGCATTCCTTCATGATGAAAGTCACTGGGATTCATTTGTTGGAGTACCTAATTTCGAATTAATTCATCAAGTAATTGCTGAGAAATTTTGATCTGGACCAAAGTGGTGGACTGTCCAGCTGACAGATGTTGTCCTCATAGAGGCACGCTGCTGACGTTTCTAAAAAAGTATAATCCAATTAATTCATGTACAATTAAATCCTCATTGCACTCTGTTTTGTTAAACCAGAAATTATTCTTAAAGCTCAAGGTTTTCTGAAAATCTGTTCAAGTCATGAAGGTATCAAGTAAACTTATTTACTTACTTAGTTTCCTGTGTTTCCAGGGGTTGTACGCTGTTGGGAATTTTCAGCCGAGTGAGGAGGCCAGTGCCAGTCCCCCTCCAATGCTACACCGCCCCCCCTGCTCCCTGCCTCACATAAGCCAGGAGGCTGTACTCCACCACCTGCAAATGAAAGCCAGCATGGCTGGGGAGGCTGGCATACCCACCTCCCACTCTGAGGGCCTCCTCCACAGAGGCCTTCAGCAGCAAAGGCCTGATGACAGTCTGAAGCGTTCCAGTGCAGACGTGGAGGTGATCTCCCCACGCAGCCCTCAAAGTAAAGACGCCATGGTGACCTTTAGCCACACCCTTCCTCGGGTCCACACCCCCCAGGCCATGGCAGCGTATGAGGAAGCAGCCAGACGTCATGCTGCCACCCTCCACCATGCCTCCATGGACTCCAGCCGCTCAAAGCAGCTTCTGTCTCAATGGAAAAGTAAGAACAACAACCATAAGTGCTCCCTGCAGGTCCCAGACTCCTTCTCGTCCTCTGTAGATTCCTCATCTGGCCAGTCCTCCCAGCATCCGCACCACCACGGTAGCATGGAGCTCCGATCCAGCTCTGAGCCATCTGCTATGGGCCTGAATGGAGGCTTTGATGGTCATGCATACATGTCCAAACTGGCAACAGGTGCTAGTACCACTCTGCCCAGTAACTGTAGCGGCATCACCGGAGGGGCCAGAATATCCATGCAGTCTAGACCTGGATCATCACAGCTGGTCCACATACCGGAGGAAGCTCATGAGAATTACAACACCACCTCCCCAAGGACGGGGGGAGGAGTAGGGAGTGAGGGGGTGTCAACAATAAACAGCACAGTACAGGCAAACTGGCAAAGGGCAGCAGAGAAGACTACAGCCTGCAGGACTAATGATAATGGGCAGAACACCCAGCCACGAATCATGCAAGTGATTGCCATGTCCAAGCAGCAGGGCCTACTGCAGACCCATTCCAAGAGCTTAGATGAGAGCAGCATAGGCTGCGGCACCAGCGGGACTTGCCAAGGTTCTGTTCGTTACAGGGCACTAACTGATCAAGACCCCACCAGCACCACAGGGCCCAGCTCACTAGGGAGCACCACAGGCAGTATTTCAGGGAGCACTGGAGCAATTGTCAGAGTAGAGGCCCACCCTGAAAACAACAAGCCGGTGATCCAAGCTCCGTCCACAGATGGAAGCGGATCATGGAGGTGGCGCTCCCTGGATCATGGCACTGGAGCAGGTGGAGGCACAGGGCCCAGTGGAACAGGAGGAGGATCAGGAGGAGGAGGTGGGAGTTTGAGGCAGTCCTTTGAGCTCAACGATCTAAACAGAGACTCGGAAAGTTCAGACTCGGTACGTGAAGGGTCGATTGACAGGAAGCGTGTCAATCACATTGTTACCACCACTGCCACTGTTAGCACCCCACCCATAGTTACTGTTCACACCCAGAACACCGGCCAGTCAGAGCACAGGCTCCACCCCCAGGGCCTCTCTACCATACGGGTCACTCCAGGGGATGGTAGTGGTTCTGGATCTGGAGGAGGAGGAGGTGGCGGAGGAGGAGGGGGTGGAGAGAGCGCTTCAGAAACACCCTCTGTCGCCTCCAGTCGTGAATCCACACTGCGGAGAAAAGGCAATAATATCATCCTGATTCCAGAGAGAGCCAACAGCCCCGACAACGCCCGGAACATTTTCTACAAGGGAACATCGATAACTCCTGTTTTCAAGGACTAACGTGCGGAGCGTCAGGAGACGTCTGAGAAGATGTAGCTAAAAATGCAAGACAGCTGGATTTTTCAGAGAACCCCATATCTGTGACAAGTCAGTATTAGCTGCCATTGTATATTACCATGATAACTTCAAAAGAAAAGGTTTTATTCAGCATGAGATTTTTGTACATGTTTACACTAAATCACAACCTTTTAAGTGTTGTAGAAATAATCACTGTGTACTTTTGTGGTCACTCCAAAGGAAACCTATTGTAATGTCGATGCTGTGCCAGTGCTTTGGGAACAGGAGAACCTTTTTTAAACAGTTCCGTATGTTTTGGATATAAATCATCAGAAAAAAAGAAAAAAGCAAGTAGCACAGTGACGTCCAAACTGTAGCAAACCACAGCAAAATAATTGTACCATAGCTGTGGAGCCAGTGTTTACTTCCCTGCACTGTAAATACTGTGTATGTTTGAAAAGGGTGCTACACCACAAAATACTATTTACTATACAACATACTGTACAATTTGAATAGATAAAGAAAGAATTATTTTAGATGGAGCAACAATGACATTAATATGTGACAGAGATATGTTTTGTATTTCGTCTCTTTTCTGTACAGATACCACATACTCAACAGAATACTGTTTTGAACCATAAGTGTGCTTAGCATTCCTTCTGTAGCTATGAAGTCAAATATGCTGTGACTTGCACTGAAATATGTGTTTACTGTACCTTGTATAGTGTAAACCCTGACCTTATCTTGATATCCATTTGGATTTCCTACCAATTCCATATCTACAGCACAAAAGAGCAGAAAAACAGCAAAACAGTGGAACGTCATGCTTACTTAACCTTAAAGATAATCAGTCCATCTGCAAAACTCAATGCAATACTCGACCTCAAGCTACCCACATGAATTAGGCAGGTTTTCATCTGCGTAAAAGCAGCCATCGCAGCTATCAAATGAACATTCTGAGAGACACACTTGCGGCTGTCAAACCCACAACCAAATGCTAACATCACCAGACTCACAGCGAGGTAGTAAATTTGGGGAAAAGGTAACAGGCAGGTCCAGGACTTCCAAGTCTTGTATGGACGTGGATCTCTCCCAGTGAAATTACAAAAGGTGAACAGCGGCCATACCAAAACGATTTCTCGGAAACAAAGCTAAAAATAATTAAAACTGATGATGGCCATAGCATACACTTAAGCCACGTTTCCATCAGAAATTTTTGGTATAGTACCTGTAGAACCCTAGAAACATGTGCCGAGACCCTCGAGCCGCAGACAGTACTCTTAATAGACGTTTGTTGTCACTCACGCTCCATCCATCTCACCTGGTTTATCGTCAGTTGGGATATTTAAAATTAGCTGGGTTGTGCATTTAGTCCTTGTCAGGCAAGAGCAGGCGAGTAGTGCTGCGGAACAACGCTATGCCATGTGTTTTCTCTTAGTGAGCATTAGACTGCAGGTCACGTAATGCGGTTTAAATTCATATACATCTTTTAAACACTTAAAAATCTAAAATCTCTGAAGCCAGCCCATTCTCATTCCAAAGTCATCAAATAACACCACTTTGGTCGTGATTTTGGCATCAGACGCTTAACACCAAAAGACACCTTTCGCAGCGGTATGGCTCCAAAACGCAGGTGTTCACTTCCAATGTAGAGCCAAACCATGATGTTGTTTTTCTAAACCTAACCATGTGCTTTTCTTGACGTTGGTAGGAACATCAACAGCAGATGCACAATGACACCTAGCCTGTAATATGAAGACGTGAAAGTCCATTGACAAAGCAGTGACGTGATGACTTTGAATGATAATGTGTTGCTAGCGTATGTCGTAAGAGAGACAGTTAAAACAAATGTCATGTCTAGAGTCGTCATGGTAACATTTAAGGTGTGTCGATTGATTCACATCATCAACTCGTGCACTGAGTAAACATGCAAGCAAACCTTCCACCTTAAAAGTTGCCAGTAGCTGCCAGCGCGAGACTTTGAGTCACACAGTGAATTCAATTTTGTTTTCTCAGTCTGTAGCTGCTGCTAGAGTCCACGAAACATCCCTGACACACCAAGCCGACGGTCGGCCGTCGACCAAAGTCGGGCCGTCGGTGAGCGTCCGTCACCCTAGTTTTTGCGGTGTGTTCCGCACCATCGGCACTTCGGCGTCTGCGGCTTTTCGGCCGATTGAGCATGTTGAATCGGTGGCGGAGCTTGTCGGTGAGAGAGATCACTCTGATTGGCTGTTCAGGTTTTATTTCTTCGCCCCTGTAGCGAGTGAATCTGCCTGTAGTGAAACCGGGGCTAACCGGTGCTTCCTCCTCAGGCTCCACTTCACTCAGCTGCCCCACAGACCCGCTGCTTCTTCACACTTTAACCTGAATAACAAACTGGGGCTAACTGGGAGCGGCTAGCGGAGTGTTAGCCGCAGCATGACCGGAGGGAAGCACAGCCAGTTAGCCTCCGCTAGTCTCTGAGCTAGCCCCGGCTCTCCGTTTGGATCCAACCGGAGCACCGAGCCCTGGTTTGTTATTCAGGTTAAAGTGGGAAGAAGCAGCGGGTTTATCGGGCAGCTGAGTGAAGTGGAGCCTGAGGAGGAAACACCGGGACCGTCTGGATGTAATAGTCCGTGGAGGTGCTGCGGTGCTCGGCTGCACAGATAGGAAACCCCTCGGCTGACAGGATGTACCACTCTCTCACTCCGCTCTCTCTCACGCAGGCGCAGAACATACGTGCTACTTGGCCGTCGGATGTAGTCCGTGTAGTGTGTTCAAATGCAACTGACACAGGGCGACGTGAGGCGACATAGACGAAGCAACAGTTGGCTTTCGTCACCGCTAGTTCTTTGATGTCGATTTGGTGTGTCTGCACCTTTAGTTTACTAAGGTATAAAAATCACAGTATGAACAGTGGTTCAGCTCTGAGCAAGGGTGACGGTTCACTATGGACCAATAAACAGGCTGCAGTGTTTCTAGCTCCACCTTTTAGATTAGGTACCCCAACAGACGGGTGACAAGAAACGGGGAAAGTAAGGAACGGTTTTATTGGTACTATCCACAAATTTTCACAATGTGCACGTAACTGAACTGAACTGCTTGGTGGAAACGAGGCTTCATAGCATTGTCACAGTAGAAGGAAGCCTCAAGTGTTTCTATGTTGAGGAACACAGGATAACAGTAAGAGAACATTTAGACACACCAGTTTACAGACACAGTTGTTCAGGAATGTGTTCCGCCTAGCTTAGCACAAAGATGTAGCTGCCTGCAGTCTTTGTGCCAAGGAGCTGTTGGTCCAAAAATAGTTCCAAAGGTTGCAAAACTTAAGTACCACCATATCTCGTTTTCTGTTCCTACTTATGTATGTTGCTTTGTTGGGCTACAAAAGTTGCTGGAAGGCTTTTTTTATTACCGAAGGTGGAGGCCACTAGCCTTTGTGCTGAGCTAAACATATCAGGGATCTGTTCCTGTACTGGATGCACAGAGGTCAGACTGCTTTTGGTCTTCTCTTCTGACTCTGAGTCAGATAGCAAACATATTTCCCAAAATGTTGCATTGTTTTTTTTAAATCATCCTTTTCTTATAAAAAGCACTGTGCTCGCCATAGTCAGAAATCAAACCTGATTTGTCGTGCAGGTACAACATGTAGCATTTTTTGACAAGGATATACAGTACTGCTGTTAGATTGTAATACCTCAGTATAAGTGTCATCATTTAAGGAAAATGTTTTGGGATCTTTGGCTTGGCTGAGCGAGATAAGCGTGGAATCCACTGGAAGAGCAGCACCTTCTTCCAGATTTGTGCTGTGAAAGAATTTCCTTTTGTGCCATAAAGCAACCAGCAGATTTTCTACCAGATCCAACCCAGTGAATCAAATGCTATAGGCTAGTAGAGATCGCCAGTTCCATGCGAAACAGTTTCCTTATGCTGCTGGTAGTGATCTCAAATGAAAATGTCTTTCTTTCCTTTTTAATTCTTCTTCTTCTTGTTTTTGTTTTTTTTCATTAAGTCAAAGTCCAATCAGGACCTTGACTGTTGGGGAAAAAGCTGAAAGAAGACTGTTTCTCAGTTGAAGACTTACAGAGTCTGTTTACAGTGGTTTACATGATAGTGCATATCATTCATTAGTATCTCAGTGGTTAATAAGCACCCACTGGATATAAACTGAATTTGATACAAACACAGCATTGGCACCAAGTGTGCTATGAAAGTATTTAGTCAGAGTGACTATATGAGAAGATTTGCCAAAGCTAAAATGTTTCATTGAAAAGAATATAAATCACCAGATGTAATTTTCAGTATTTGTATAGCTAGCCTGCATTATAGTGTACATGATTTATTCTATACCCCAATAACATTTGCATGGTCACTTTTCTATAGTGCATATCACAATATTTTTTATCATAAATGTGTTTTAAAAAATATCCATAAAATTGAATTTACAGATGTGTTTAACAGTATGTTCTTTATTTCTGTGTTTCATGGTGAGAGTTATATGACAATCTTTTTTTTTTATTTTATTTAAGTACTGTTGCCCCTTCATGTCAATACTACAGGCTGGTTTTGTTTTTCACTCTGGAACGTTTTTATTTGAAATGTGTACATAATTTAATAAACGTGTGAAAATAGCTGAGGTTTTGATTCGAGCTGAATCAAACTCGTAGAAAGAAAATACTTATTTTCAAAGTACAAGTCCAGCTGGGTTGAGTATTTTGAAGACATTGTTGTCTTATTTAAACCACATAGCTTTGAGTGCTTCGAGCTCTTACATTGCTGAATTGGGTTTTAATTCTCACCTCAGAATCATTTCTTGTACCCACTGCGGTACAGGTCATCACTACAGGCTGGGTTTCCTTTTTTTACTTAAATCAAGTTGCCACTCGCTCACTATGGTACCTGTGTACAGCTTTGACAAGACATGAAACGTAAAAGAACACCGGGGGTTGTTGGAATTTGTGGAACACAAACAGTTCAACATGAGTTAGTGAGGTGCATTTTATAAAGATGGCTTTCCTATCACAGAAACACTGTCTCCTCTACTGGCGACCATACAGTGTCAAGTTTAATGCAAGCCTTAAAAAGATGATGTGTTTCAGTGGCTCAGCTTTGACGGTTAAATTCCAATCAGTTGTGATTAAAAGTTGTAATTCCTTTAGGATTAACACCCTCTCCCAAATTATCTTTTCCTATGCAATTCTACAGGATAAAATGGAGAATTCAGTGGTGCTTTACTGTCTTAAAAGAAAACACTTTATTTTTCTTTTGGCTTTGTTTTTCTAATTGGCAACAAATCCCTTGAGAGACCAAAACCAACAATGAGTTTGTCGGTCTCTTAACATTTAACGACTCCCTGCTCGGTCTGCGGCTCTCTGTGTAGACTCATACACAGCTGTGACAGTAAATATGGATATCCAAAGATGGATGTTGCTGCAAAGAAGCTTCATATTTAAAACATGGAGGCTTTACGCACATCGTCAACCTGTTAGCACTGAAGATACAATCAGCACAGTTTCAAGATGGGCACGCAAGATCAGTGTCATCAATTCAGTGTCTGTGTCAGTATCAAACGTATCACATGTCACCTCTTCTGTTCCTGAGGTCCTGTTTATACGACAATTTAAACTGTAAACAGTAAACTTTAGTTGCATTTTGGCTGATCGTTTACACGACAGCTGCGTTTTGGGTGCCTGAAATCACGTTTTGAAAAATAAATTCCAGAGTGCAGTTTTTTGGAAACAGCACCGTTGTCATGCAGACTTGCAATATGCCGTTCCTCTGATGCCGCTCCAGTCACTAGGCATGCGCGAGAAAGTCGACATCACAACAACAATGGCGGACTCCCGAGCTCTGTTTGTGCTGCTCACCGTGTTGACTTTTATCAAGGCTTCTCCAGCAAAGTGTAGATTTACTGTAGCAACTCCACCTCGTCGTCCGTCCAGAGAAACGTTTGTGCGGCTGCCATTTTGTTTGTTTATACATCATCGCTCTGTTGAAGGAAGCGCATGTGCATTACAAAGTCAGACTGCCAACTACTGGCCTGGCATGTGTACTACAGCGTTTTTGGTCATTTTTGTGTATCTGTGTGCACCGCGATTGTTATCAAGATGTTACTGAAACAAAAATGAGAAACGATTCTGTTTTCAGTGGATTGTTTTCGTGTAAACACGGCCTGAGTTATGACATCAAATAATAACAAGAGAAGTATTTGTAAAGATTATTATGATGTCACAGTGAAGCTGACCTTTGACCTTTTGGATATAAAATGTTTTTACTTCATCTTGTTATCCAGTTAGACATTTGTGTGAAGTTTTGTCGTAATTAGCTCATGAATTCTTGAGTTATGACCAAAAATGTGTTTTGTGAGGTCACAGTGACCTTTGAAAAATTCTAATCAGTTTGTTTTTCAGTCCAAGTGGACGTTTGTGTCAAATTTGAAGGAATTCCTTCAAGGTGTTCATAAGATATCGCATTCAAATGAATCAGATGGATGCAAGGTCACAGTGACCTTTGGCAACCAAATTTTAATCAGTTCACCTTTGAATTCAAGTGGACGTTTGTGCCAGATTTAAGGGAACTCTCTCATGGTCTTCTCGAGAAATCGTTCACTAGAATGAGACAGAGGCAAGGTCACGGTGACCTTGATCTTTGATCTTTTACCAAGTAATACATTTATCCTTGAGTCCAAATGGGTGTTTGTGCCAAATTTGAAGAAATTCTCGAGATGTCGACTTCACGAGAATGAGACAGACAAGGTCGCAGTGAACTTAACCTTTGACCATCACGTTCTAATCAGTTGGTTCTTAAATCCAAATAAATGTTTGTGCCAAATTTGAAGAATTTCCCTCGAGGCCCTCTTGAGATATTGCGTTCATGAGAATGGGACAGACGGACAGACGGACGGACAACCCAAAAAAATAATGCAAGAGTATATTTACTGGCAAAAGTTATAAAGTTATGAAGTAGTTATATTTGGGGCAGCAGGACAGTGTTTACAGGATTGAATCGAGATAAACTACAGTGTGTGTATTCATGCTAATGAAGGAACACGTCAACCAGTGCAACAGTGCGGCTCACTGCCATGTTTGCGGGCTACAATATAATTCTTTGGCACAGAGGAAGACAGGCTTTGAAACACGTCCTGTAGCATGATGCGCAGATTGTTGCTTTTGGTCTGAACATTGGATTTGACGACACTGAGAGAAATATCACCAGAGTGATCAGTTATTGTTCTGACAACACAAATGAATGA